TTAAATTACTGAGGTCTGTGAACCATTCTAAGGTACATGAGGTTCCCCAATAGACCAAAGTACAGACTACAGCTTTCTAAGCATCTCATACTGGCTAACGCTACTGATCCTTGCGATAACCTATTATAAGCACTACTAGAGGCCTAGTGCACGAAATTCGTGCACAGGTAGGGTCCCTAGGCCTGGCCAGCGATCAGGGCCAGCCGGGGCCTTGCTTCATTCCACGCCACCCCCTGGTGGTCAGTGCACATCACAGTGAGCAACTAAACTCCCAGTCTCCCGGTCAATCTCCCGAAGGGACAATTTACATATTAGGCTTTTATATATAAAGATTATCCTGATTACCACATACAATGAAAACGAGCCACAGAGAAGTTAAGTAGCTTGCAGACGATCACACAGCTATTGGGGGTGGGAGCAAGGAATCAAATTCAAGCGCTGACTTCTCAGCCCTTATCCATTACACTTAATTGCCCACCATATATAAAGCCCATTCATTGGCAGAGAGAAAATACCACAAGGTCACAGACCTACTATTTACTTAGCACCTGCTATATTGCCCAGCACCAGGCACTGGAGATGAAAGAATAAAAAAAGCCTGGCTCTGAGCTGAAAGAGACTTTTTCTTTTCTTTTCTTTTTTCTTTTCCTTTTTTAAGCAGATTTGGGGTAGGGTGAAAACAAAGTAACCAGTTACAATAAAATGTGTTTAGCCTCTGGCTAGCAGACCATCCTGCCCCTTAGGAGAACACAATGCAAAGGGCAACTAACTGAGAAAACAATATAACCTTAGAAACACTAAAGGCTTTTTATTTTAAATTGTTGCCCTACACATACCTGGACTTATCTGGAACAGAAGCATAGAAAACATTATCTAAACCTTTCCTTGATGACTTCAGGTCATCACTGGGAAGACCAAGAGCACTACAATAATGTCATATACCGTGTTTTAGGAATGAAGGACACTTTGCTCCTACTTTTTTGTTGTTGATTTTTAGAGAGAGGAAGGGAGGGAGACAGAGAGGGAGAGAGAGAAAAACATTGATGTGAGAGTGAGAAACATCAATAAGTTGCCTCCCATACACACCCCAACCAGGGATCGAATCTGAAAGCTGGGTATGTGCCCTGATCAGGAATGGAACCTGCCACTTTTGGGTGTATGGGACAACACTCCGACCAACTGAGCCACATAGACCAGGGCTGTTTCTACTTTTAAAACATTTGAAGTTATATCTCACTCCCAGATCTTATTGCACAAGGTTATTGCCTACCTCTAGCAGTTACACCCTCTCCCAATCTGAAATGACACAGAAGAGAGTTAATCAGTAACCATATTCCAAGTTTAAATTGTCAAGGAAAGCCCCTTTTCCAGAGTAAAGTACTCAGATTTATGAGAGTTCACCTATTTTCTTCTATGTTCATTCATTTACGTACAATAAGAGGAGGTGGCTCACTAGGAAAACGAATTTTGTGAATTTCAAAAATTTTTACCCATGACAAACCTGGGAAGAGAGATAAAATATCTTACATCGAACAGGGACAGTGACTATAGTAACAACCTATCTTCAATGAGCAGTCCCTACTATGTGCCAGGTATGCTACCAGTTTAATAGGGATTAATTATTTTACCCTCACAATACCCCTATGAAATGTGTCATTCTAATCTCCAGTATATAAGAAAACGGAGGCCCACGTTCACATAAAAAGTTGCAGGACTAGAATTTGAATCACATGCTCAAGAAAAAAAAAGCCTTAAGTGTCTTTGCGGCCAAGCAGGTACAGTAACTGTGTGAAGTGGCTCAGTGTTAAGATTATGGAGCTGTGGTTCTCAACTTGGCAGCTCGTTGTAATAACCTGGGGAGGCTGCCAGGGGAGCTCCACCCCCCCGGATTGTGATGTGATTGGTCTGGGAGCTGCCCAGGTAATTCTAATGGCCAGTCAAAACGGAGAACCATTGTGTGTGGACTCAGAGAATGGTGCATGGCCCACTTGAGAGGAGTTTAAAAATGTTTAAAAGGTTAAGGAAACACGGTGCTGGTCAAAGGTTGTAGGACTGCCTCTGCCAACAGTATGTAACCTCTGCCCCGCTCCTCAGCATCATTAAGGTACAGTATGGACGGCGGACAGATCAGTCCATAGATAGGCTGGCAGACATACAGATTTATATTTAGTGGGGAGAGGGTTGCCTAGTCTTGGAACGTCCCCCATGTCACCCTACCATCTCCTACTTATGGAACTGTTCTACTATAAGATACACTAGGTGTTAGAAGTAACCGCCTTTCAAAATAAACTCTGGAGTACAACCCATTCTTAAACTGAAGACATCCTAAATATGCTCACTTAACAAATGTGTACCTTCAGATTATAGGGCCAAACTACGTAAACATTTCAAGAGTCATTTATTTTTTTTAATGTATTTTTATTGATTCCAGAGAGGAAGGGAGAGAGAGAGATAGAAACATCAATGATGAGAGAGAATCGATTGGCTGCCTTCTCCCCCCCCGCGGGGGGGGGGGGGGGGGGATCGAGCCCGCAACCCAGACATGTGCTCGGTTCATAGGTCGACGCTCAACCACTGAGCCATGCCGGCTGGGCTCAGGAGTCATACTTTTTATAGAAGGCCACTCATAATTAACGCTGATCGTAATCCAAGACAGATCAAGAGATCTCAGGAAACTAAACAAGTCTTGAGAATAGAGAGTTTAATGCCCTAAAAGCAAGTGCAGGTGGTACATAGCACTGCTGAGTAAAATGTCATTTGTCATTGGAAAAGGGAAGCAAACCTGCATACCATCAGAAAAGCTTCATTACCTGGCCTGCAGATGTGAAATCAAAATAAATGCTACAGAAGTCAATCGGGAATCCATTTTAAAAAGAATACACTGTAGCCTGCTTGGGAAACAATTCTTCATGCTTAATCATGTTATAATCGTTGCAGCACCACAACTCAAGAGGAAATGGCAAAAGAGTAAAATTAAGAAACGGAGTTTAAGGCAAGTCATTCAAACTTAGCTACATCTTTTCTTCCGCAGCAAAGCAAATGTTGTGCAGTTTAACTGTCTTGTGTTACCACTTACGACCACTCCCCCCACGACCACCGAAAGAAGGCATATAAAAGAAGAAAAGACATTGAAATTGACTTTCAAAATGGAATGCTGCAAATAAAGGCCATGTCTCAGAACGCAGGGTCTTGGTCAATGAGTTTCAACATTGGCAGCTGAGGCAAATGCGCTACTTGGGGCAAAATATTTTGTTGCCGTTATGTGTTTGTTTTTTTTTCCAAAGCAGAGACTGGCAAGTGGAGCCCAAGAAAGCAGACTAATGTGCTTGGGATTAATGTCCTCACCACGGCTCAGGATAATTTTATTAGTTGACTGAATGAATATATATGGACCCCCTCCTGAGTGTCAGGCACTGTGCAGTGTTGAGGATGCTGCTGATAGCACCTGCTCTCATGGGTCTCCTAAAGTAAGAGACCAAGGCAACCACTTCACAGAGTTCACCACACAAGCCCCTTCTGTGAACATCCAGCCCTGCCTTTGTACTATTAGACAGAAAAATTTTCCCTTGGTCTAACTGCACTGAACTTCACGGGGAAGCCGCCGCCATCATCTAAATAAATAAGTAAATAAATATATACCCATACTTTGAATACCAACATTATTCATGGATAAACATCCACAAATTAAAAAAAATTTAAGTTAAGACTGTACCAAAAATAGGTTTTCCTTTTGAAGCAAGCCCAGCTCACATATTTTCACTGTCTGTGGCTGTGTAGCTTCAGTAAGCTAAAAATACTTTCCCTTCTGCTAAGTTGGGAAGAGCAAAAAAGACCAAGCCATCGGCCGTGTATCATTTTCACTCATCTTAATTTTTTTTACTAGAAAACACTCAAAATAGCTGAAGTAACGAAAAGGCATCTGTTTTATATTTGTATACAGACACACTGACAGATACATCTATTCGGCTCCTATCCTCACAGTAATATGAAATAAGCTATATGTGCCCTATCAGCAAAGACTGTCAACATTTCACTACTCACAGCTTTTCATTATTATTTTGGTTGGACAGAGGGCTGCATAAGTGTTGAAAACTAACCCAAGTACAAGTAAAAGCTTTCAAAATATAGATACGCTACTTGGGCAAAGCATACAGGATGATTCTGCTCTTAAGAAGACAACTCGGTGGTTACTGTACAGTCATGCATCATTTATGTTTCTGAAATTTACATTAAGTGAGATTTGAAAAGAGAAGGATAGAACTTTAAGTCTTTCTGCAGGTCTTGCTCAAGTTGTGCTTGCTATGTCTGGTAAAGTGAAAACACTGTATTTCTCTTCTTGGACTTCTCAAAGCTAACTGTAAAACCACACACACATACACACACACACCTCTACCTCTGTGATAAACTAAATGTTACTCGGGAAAACAAACATTTTCCCCCCGCAAAAACATACCTGCAGGATGGTAAACAGTAGTAGTGTGGACTTTTCCAATACCTCTAAAGTCCACCCTACTAAGTTACCAGAAACTAGCCTTCCACGGGACTAGGCCATTAGTTTGAGCTGCTGTGTTATGGCTTAGTTTCCCTTGGAAAAAAAAAAAAAAACAGCTTTGAGAAACCTCTGCCAAACTCCCCATTTCTTGGGCTACTGACCACGTCAAACGAAAAGCAAGTGGCTAGATTAGAACCAGGGAACCATGCCCCTCTGGGACGGGCTGGCAGAAGGGGAGCGAGGGCTGCTGGCTCGCCTGCCCCGACAGCGCCGCGCCTTTGCTAAGCGCTGGAAGACAGGAGTCGGTGTGCGCCCGGCCATCCAATGCCCGGCGGGTCCAGGGGCCGGCGCTACCCATTTCAAAGGGATCCGCCTGGGGAACCCGGACGACGGGGATGTCATCTCCCCTGGCACTCGGGGCTCAGCGACCCTGCAGGGCTCGCCTCCGATGTCCCCGCAGGTCAGAGGTGGCCCCCGCGATGCCAACGGCTCACCAAGGCCACTTTCCCAGCCCGGGCGGGGACAGGGACTCCTGGTGCTGCTGGTACTTTTGCGCCACCGCCTCGGCTTTGCGCAGCTGCGTCTGCAGCTCGTAGTAGAGCATCGCGCCGTAGAGGAAGCCGAAGACCACGGTCAGCAGCAGCAGCGTCTGGAAGATCCGCTTCTGCTTTCGGGAGCACATCCCGTTGCCCATCGTCCCCGCCGGCCCTTCCTCCCGCCGCCCG